CCTGCCAAAACTGCCCGGCAATTCTGACCAGAGTGATAGGCCAGTTCAAACGGTCACTACAGGGTAAACTGTAATTCAGTTGGCCACCTGCGTGAGGACCGACATGACTGTGCAACTTTCTGTGTGTGCCACAATCCCATTGGCCACGGGCCCCTATAAAACTGCTGCTCCTCTTAGCCTCGGGGTCCAAGCCCCTGCTCTGCTGCGGGGGGTACCCTTGGACCCAAGCTCGAGCTTGCAAATAAACCCTCGTGCGCTTGCATCGGTGTCGGCTCCTTGGTGGTTTCTCGGATATGCAATCTTGGGCACAACACTAATGTGCACAGGATTTCTTTTTGGGGGTAATTAAAATGTCTTTTTTAAAAAATATTTTATTTATTTATTCATGAGAGACAGAGAGAGAGAGAGAGAGAGGGGCAGAGAGACGTAGGCGGAGGGAGAAGCAGGCTCCCTGTGGGACGCCTCATGTGGGACTGGATCCCAGTACCCCGGGATCATGCCGTGAGCCAAAGGTAGACGCTCAGCCGCTGCGCCCCCCAGGCGTCCCTTAAAATGTTCTTAAATGGACTGTAGTGGGGGTTGGAAAAAACTCTGTCACTATACTAAAACTATTGAATGGCACACTTTGGATGGGGAAGATGTATGGCATGTAAATTATATTTCCATTAAGTTATTAAAAAGAAAAAAGACAAAAAAAAAAAAAAAAGGCCATGCAGCTTTTGCCTTGTTGACTAGGAGGAACACTTGGTCTTGGAATCCTAAGCCTCATTTTAAGAAATCTGATTACCCTGTGACCAATGGGTTATGACAAGCCCAAGCCACCCAGAGAGGCCACATGTCCTAGCTCAGCCCCACTTTCAAGTCATCACAACCCAGGAACCAAATATGTGAATGAAGAAGACTTCAGATGATTTAGCCCTCAAAGTGGCCTTTGAGTCACACTCCCAATCATTTGAGTTTTTCCAACATAACTTCCAGGCAAGGCCCATGCCTACCATATTCTGCCCCAATACCTGAGCACAGACTTTGTAAGCATGATAAAATGGTGCTTGTTTTAGATCAATCTGCTTTGGGATGGTTTGTAATAGGAGTCTTTTGGCTTTCCTCCTACCTCACAGTCTCCTTCTTAGTCTACTGGTTCCTCCTTATAAGAGTTATTTCCTCAGTATGTGGACTTCTGTTCCTGTGTGTTCTCCTTCAGCAACCTCACACAGACCCATGGCTTTACACATCACACCCATGACCCCCAAATTTATAACTTCAGCTGGACCTCTCCCCTGAACTTCATAGTACTATATTCACCTGTGTACTTGACTTCCTACTTTTTTCCAAGTAGTATCTAAAACTGAACAAAAACAAAATTGCTCTTTTCCTCCAAACCTGCTCTTTTTCCAATTGGCTCCTCAGCCTTGTAGTCGTTAAAGCCTCTTTGCCTAGACATTCACATGGCTCACTTCTGGCCTCCTTCAGGAAGCCACTAAAATTCCTGGTAGGCCTTGATATCCTATTTGAAGTAGTAACTCCACTTCCAACCTTCACATTCCCTATGCACCCAACCCAGCTTTGATTTTCTCCATAGCCCTTCCCTCCACCTGATTACTATATCTTTTACTAATTTGTCTCTCTTTCTCTACTAGGATGTAAGGACCATGAAGGTAAGGGCCTTGTCTATTATTTTCACTGCTGTATTCTCATGCCCAAACAATGTGTAATGTATTTGGCACTCAGTAATTATTTAATCATTGAATGAATAATCACATAAGTTCAGGGAGGCAGAGATGAGACTAAGAACACAAGTTGAGTGTTAGCCTCAAAAGTAGATTAAAAAAAAAAAGATATAATACACCTCCTCTTTTAGGGAAGAGAGAAAAGAAAGTCCACTGGTTATGAATACCTTAGCAAAGTAGTAACAGTAGTACATATCACACATGGGGCTTACTCTGTGCTCTGTCCAGGTCTAAGCATTTTATACATACCAAATGGGCTAATCCTTTAAACAATCTATAGGTAGATTCTATAATCATTTTTATAGAAGAGAAAACCTAAGCAGAGTGAGGTAAGTAACTTGTCCAAGGGCCAAATGGCAGAGTTGGGATAAAAACTCAAAATATAGGAGTTCAGGCTCTATTACCTTAACCTCCACACCACACTACCTCTTAAAGGTTCTTTGCTGGGAGTGATACAGGAGTGGTGGGGTATAGAATTTGAGAAGAGTGGAGGAGTTTTGCGATAGTTATTGGGAGTTTGGTAGGGGGTCCAGGAGGAAAAAAAATGAAAGGATTGTCAAGCTGCAGTGAAGGCCTGGATGCAACTAAACAATGTGGTTCTGTGGTAGACTCCATTAATTGGGTAGGTCACTTAACCTTCTGTGCTAACAGCAGGAAGCATAGTTGAGTTCAGCCAAGTTTGTGGGTTGATAGGGTAGGTAGAGCAGAGATCAAGAGAACAAACTAAGATAAAAACACATTTGTTTACCCAAAGGATAAAAAAAATACAGATTCAAAGGAGAACATGCAGCCCAATGTTTATAGCAGCATTACCAACAACAGTCAAACTATGGAAAGAGCCCAGATATCCATCGACTGATGTGGCATGTATATACACAATTGAATATTACTCAGCCATCAAAAAGAATGAAATCTTGCCATCTGCAACAATGTGGATGGAGCTAGAGTATATTATACTAAGCTAAATAAGCCAGTCAGAGAAGACAAATACCATATGATATCACTCATATGTGGAATTTAAGAAATAGAACAGATGGGCATTTGGAAAGGGAAAAAGAGAGGAAGCAAACCATAAAAAAATCTTGAGGATTAAGAATTGAGTGTTGATGGAGGGAGGGGGATGGGCTAGATGGGTGATGGAGATTAAGAAGGGCGCTTGCTATGATGAGCACTTGAGTGTTGATGTAAGTAACGAATCACTAAATTCTACTCCTGAAATCAATATTATGCTATATGTTAACTAGAATTTAATTTTTTTAAAGACTTTATTTATTCATGAGACACAGAGAGAGAGAGAGAGTGAGAGAGAGAGAGAGAGAGAGAGAGAGAGGCAGAGACACAGGCAGAGGGAGAAGCAGGCTCCATGCAGAAGCCCGATATGGGACTCAGTCCTGGCATTCCGGGATCACGCCCTGAGCCAAAGGCAGACGCTCAAACGCTGAGCCACCCAGGAATCCTGTGAATTTAAAAATTTGAAAAGACAAAAAAAATTTTTTTGAAAAGAAAAAAAAAACACATTTGAAATAGTTGAGCAGGGAACCCAGGAGCAAATTAAAAAATCATTAGAATAAACTCAGATACCCAGGAACTAGGGGTCATGATGACAAGGATGAACATTCAGGAGGAATATAGGGAGGATGTCCAAAATTTGGCAAATGGAGTTAGGGAATTATCCAGCAATATGGCCTGTCTGAGGCAGAATCAGTTTCCTCTGAGTACAGGAGGTTGACATGATCTCCTCCTACCCTTCCTAAACCCAGGCTAAGTTGATGCTTCAAATGCCCGTAAGCCAAGACAAGGCTCTTCACACCACAAAAATGGGAGGGCTTAAAAAATACAACAGCCTCATGGGAGATGATTCAATGACTTGTGTTGAATCATTGGGTTTTTAGGTTCCTCCTCTAGCATTGATTTGGACATTAAGAACCCTCCTAGGCACTAAGTTGGAAAGAAAGGGTCACTGAAGGAGAAGGTGGCCAATTATCTGTCAAGTCGGCTTAACGTAGCCCTAGGTGGGATTTTTGGAAAGTAGCAACTAATCCATTGAAACCAAACATTTTCTCTAATAACCCATTCAAATAAAATGCTTTTGTAGATGTTCTCACAAAATGTCACTTATTCACTGCAACTGGAAAGTTCTGACATAAGCCTCTAGGAGTCAGTTGTACTTGCTTTTACTTGATTACCTCCCAAATTCCTCAAATATATTACCACCAGGGGCAGGAAGATCCACTACTTTAGTCACAGCAAGAGAAACTAAGGGCAAATCATCTTTAGGAGTTATAAAAAATGATAGCGAATAGATAAACAAAATGTGGCCTATACATACCATGGAATATTGGTCAGGCCTAAAAATGAAGGAAATTCTGACTCCCGCCATAGCACAGATGAACCTTGAAGACATTATACCCAGTGTGAGAAGTCAGACCCAAAAGTACAAATACTGTGTGATTCCAGGAATATGAAATACCTAGAGTAGTCAAATTCATAGACAGCAAGTAAAATGATGGTTACCAGGAGCTGAAAAGAGGGAGAATGGGGAGTCAGTGTTTACTAGGTACAGAATTTTAGCTTAGGGTGATAAAAAGATTCTGAAGATGGTTCCTGACGATGCTCACGCAACAGTGTGAATGTACTTAATGTCACTGAACTATACACTTAAAAAACACTTAAAATGGTAAATTTCCTGTTATGTATATTTTACTACAATAAAACAGTTACATAAAATGGAGTAAGATTGGTGGACTCTATCGCAGATGAGAAAACAACGATATGCCTCAGACAGTTTTGAGTACAAACAGATCTGTAAAGAGAAGCAGGATGGCTGAGATGGACAAAGTGATCTCTGAGGATTCCCTCAATTCCCACCAGAGTGAATTTCCCAGATGAACTCTCGCTAGCTAACTGCTGCAAAGACTGTAGCTTTGGACTGCTCTGCTTCTGGTGGGAACAGAAGCCCCAGGAATTGCCGAGGTAGGGACGTGTTTCTAAAATGCTGTCAGCACCCCTTTGAGGCACAATTACTTTGAGGTTAGAAGTCTTGCCTGATTTTTTGTAGCTCAGACTGCCAAAAGGTGTCTGGCCCCTAGAAGGTACTTAATACATAGCTACTGAGCAGAGATGAAAGTTTGATTTGGTTCATAAAATGGAGAATAGGGTAATGTCTTTTTCAGAGTGTTATATTTGATTAGAATGAAATACTACTATGTAAAAACACTGATACAAAGATAAGGCATTATTCTTAATACAAACAGGACAAAGAAGTCTTGAAAATTTCCCTGAAGTTCAGTTTATTTGCCATGATCTAATTTCTTGGTGAGTTGAAGGTAATTTTCCCTGAAGACATAGAAAGCTCTGATCTACCTTTTTCTTCTCGGTCATCTTAGAAAGCATGGTGATGGGGCTTTTTGGCTATCAGTTACTATTCTGGAGGATATGGGTTTATTTGGAACAAAACTAGTAGAAAAATATAGTTGTTTCTCTTAGCAGTTTTTCTGGCTCTAAAAGCTCTCCAATTTTAGATGGATTTGTTATGCAGGAGGAAATCTAAGGTAAGGCATCCCGAGTCTCACAGATCTTCCCTGATAGGTCACATTCCGCTAACCTAATCATATTTGACAATAAATTTAATTATCCAAGAAATTTTATTATCCAAGTTTTATATATCTGCTTCCTATAGATGAGTATCATTTTAATCTATGATACACTGAGAGAAGACAAGAATTGTATCTTGCATTTATGATTTAAAAAGTTATATTAAAATTAAGACTTGTGTTTAGGTGACTAAAAGGAAAATTAGATGGATATTTATAAAACCTGTTATTTTAGGAAAAGATCTAGAATCTCTTTCCAACTTCTTTATAAACTGGGGAGCATGCAATTTAGGAAGAATTCAGTTTTTTTTCCCCAATTGCACTCTAGATGATGTCAAAGGCAAAACATTCAGAAATCTTGACTTTTCCCTCCTCAAACTTTAGATGGACTGCTTTTCAGACTTTTCCTAATCAACATTCTATGAAATCCTCTACCTGATAAAAGGCCAAACATTTACATTCTTCTCAAGGGTTGAATGAATTTTTATATTAACACAGATGGTATTCTAGTATTTATCATACTGAACAAGAACGAATTAATTTTCATCATCAATGTACCATACAAATGCGAAGTTTAAAACAGGATTTTCATTGATGGACAACACTGTAGATTCCATGTTGTGATTAATTCCAGGAACACAAATTTCTACATCTTCAGTGGAAAGTATACTTTTCAGGCGTAATGACTCCCTCAAAGAGCTTTCTGTTTGTCTTTCTCTTGCTCCTTTTGACTGCAAAGCGTAAAAGATTCCTGAACAAATTGCCTGCACATTGGGCACTGCTGAAAATACCTAACACAGCCATCACACAAGCACGTGTGTCTACATGGCAGGAGCACCCAGTTCACACTCCCGTTCTGGCAAACAACACAGTCCTTGCTGTTCTCTTCAGGAGGCTCCACTTCACTTTCAGACAGCCCAGCCTTTTCCAGCAAACTTTGGTCTATGCTTTTTTCTTCTGGGGAGGGATTGCTGGAGGGAGTGGAATTATTATTTGCAGACATGAAAAGTTGCTGAAAACCAAAGAAACAAGTTTAAGGATAGTCATAAATGACAATTACTCTTTAAAAAAATTTTTTTAAATTTATTTTAAAAAGAGTGAGAGAGAGAGAGCAGAAAGAGAGGGAAGCAGATGCTGTGCTGAGCACAGAGCCCAACATGGGGCTCGATCCCACCACCACCAAGATCATGACCTGAGCTGAAATCAAGAGTCAGATGCCCAACTGACTAAGCCACCCAGGCACCCTGACAATTAACTCTTTAAATCTGGGAGTCGTAAAAGCTGCTAAAAATTTGTGAGTTAGTGAGCCCAATAACAAATAATAGCTAACTTCTGTGATAACTAACTGAAAATTATCATCTTTATAAATGGTCATTCTTTGAAACTCTGCAAATAAAAGGAGAGAGCTAAGAAGACAGAGTACTTACCTTAAGATCATGAAATTGACCTTGAGCCAGGAGTAAATATTGATACAATATTCTACAGGAAAGTTTATAAGTCTTATCCGGAATATGAATTACTGACACCATGGAAATCTAAAATAAAAAGTGAATACCAATTAGTATTTAATCTGCTTACATTATTTCACAGGTATGTGAAATATAAGAAAAAAAAGGTTGATAAATTGGAAAACTTACAATAATTTATTTAAATCACAGTCTACTAAGGAGGAATCAGTTATGGAACATATTTTTGCCAGTTATTTTTAATTATACTCAAATTTACAAATTAATGTGATCCCAACAAAAATACCAATGAGCTTTTTCATAGAGTTAGATGAGTTGACTCTAAAATTCTCATATGGAAAAATAACATGTAAGAATACCTAGGAAAATACTTAAACCTGTGAGGAGGATTGAGCCCAGTCAGATATTAAAACATAGTACAAAGCCTTTAAAATTAAAATACTCTAGTACAGGGATCCCTGGGTGGCGCAGCGGTTTAGCGCCTGCCTTTGGCCCAGGGCGTGATCCTGGAGACCCGGGATCGAATCCCACGTCAGGCTCCCGGTGCATGGAGCCTGCTTCTCCCTCTGCCTGTGTCTCTGCCTCTCTCTCTCTCTCTGTGTGTGTGTGACTATCATAAATAAATAAAAATTTTTAAAAAAAATAAAAAAAATACTCTAGTACAGGCACAGAAACAGACAGGTGGCTAGAATACAACAAACAGTCCAGAAACAGACCCAGCTATCTATACAAATATGATGAAGGTGCCATCTGAAATCACTGGGTAGTCTTTTTAATAAAAAGTATTAGGACAACTGGATAACTATTTGGAAAAATATAAAATTAGATACATTCCTTATAACCATATGTAAGAATAAATTCCAAAAGCATAAGAAACCTAATTATAAAAAATAAAACTATGCAAGCACTAGAAGAAAACGTGTGGATTCTTTTTTAGTCCCAGTGTAGGGAAAGACTTTGTAACTATGACTCAAACCCAGAGGCAGATGCATTTGACTATATAAAAATTTAAAACTTGTATGATAAAAAGCCCCATAGGCAAAGTCAAAAGACAGCTGATGAATTGGAATAAAATATTCACAACAAATCTAATTTATGAAAAACTTTTAAATATTAAGAGTTGACCAAAAAGCCTATTTTTAAAAATGGGCAAAAGACATGAACAGACAATTCACACAAAATTATAAACATGGGGATCCCTGGGTGGCGCAGCAGTTTGGCACCTGCCTTTGGCCCAGGGCGCGATCTCTCTCTCTCTCTCTCTCTGACTATAATAAATTTAAAAAAAAATTAAAAAAAATTATAAACATGATCCTTAGCCATATTATTATTTTTTAAAGATGTATTTATTTATTTATTCATGAGAGACAGAGAGAGAGAGGCAGAGACACAGGCAGAGGGAGAAACAGGCTCCATGCAGGAAGCGCGACGCAGGACTTGATCCTGGGTCTCCAGGATCAGGCCCTGGGATGAAGGCAGGCGCTAACCCGCTCTGCCACCTGGGCTGCCATCCTTAACTATATTAAAAGATGTTCAATTTCACTCACAATATGATAAATACAAAATAAAACTTCACTGAGATATCATTTCTTACTCCTGGATTAATAGATTTCAAACGTTTATCAATAATATAGTCTGAGGAGAAATAGTCACTTTCATATATTGCTGGTAGAAATGTATAAAAAAGAAAAAAAGTACAAAGGCCAAGGATATAACCCCAAGGGAGGGGAATGTGGTAATATGTATCAAAATGGTAATATGTATCAAAATACCCTTACCCCTCAACCATACAACCTTAACAATATGAAAATACATACACAAGTTATGTGTAACTTGTGCAAGATTATTTGTTATTGCAAAATACTGGAAATTACCTGAATGTCCAGCTAAAGGAGATTGGCTAAATAACTATGGTACCTATACCCCTACATACAATCAAGTGCTATGCAGCCATAAAAAACAATGAGAAGAGCTCTATGAACTGATCTGGAGTGATTTCCCAGAGATACTATGAAGTGAAAAAAAGCAGGAACATGTATAGTATATAAAGTGTGATACCTTTTAAGTAAGAAAAAAGAGAAAATAATAAAAAATATATATACCTGTATCTTCTCATCATTACAATATGACACACAGGAAGGATAAACCAGAAAACAATAAACTTGATTATCTACAAGAATTGGGTGTATAAGAATGGGGAGGGAGGTGCTTGGCTGGGGTGGAGAATGCAACTCTTCGTCTCGGGGTTGTGAGTTTGAGCCTCTGTTGGGTGTGGAGATTACTTAAAAGTAAAATCACTAACAAAAAAGCATCATGGGAAGGGATAAGAGCAACATCTGAATACACTTCCTCTTTATATGGGTTTCTGACTTTTAGGAGAACAAATCCAAGTAATTTATGGACACATACTTTAAACCCTTGGGCAGAAAATAAGGAGAGGGCAGTTGAGAACCAAAATAACTAAATTCAGTAATGAATTATAAATCACTGGGAAAGAAAGGAATTCGTGAGGCCATACAGATAATAAACAAAGAAACAGATGGGAGATCTCGTGCTTATAGTAGAATACTGAGAGCTGACTGAAGGGCTGGGGTAGGAAGTCATTTTGCAACCATTGTGGAGAAGGTAAAACCTGGTAAGAATTATCAGTGGATATTCAATCCATGGGGAAATTCTCATAAAGACTGCAATGTTTGCATGGTTTTAAAAATGCTCTCCCCCAATTGCTTATTTATAAGGGAGGGAGAAAAAACAGAACAGATGAGGAATGAGATAACACCTTGCTGAGAGATTATCAAAATGAGCATCACCAGTGAGGGGGAAGAACGATATATGCCTCCAAAGGTGACGCCCTGAAAAGCACATGTCATCACCTGTGCAGTAGATGGGCTAAAAATGCACAACTCCAATCTGATCATAATGAAACATCCACAAACAAAAGGGGAGCTGTCCTGTTTACAAAAATGGTGTAGGTAAGTGTATTCTTCAAAAATGCTACTACTGTAAAAGACAAATACAGGCCGTGAAATGTTCTAGATTAAAGGAAGCTAAAAATACACGACAAATACACTACTTGACTCTAGACTAGAACCTGTATTTGAGGGGGAAACATGCTGTAAAGAAGATTGTTAGATACACTGGTATATTGGAATACAGGTAACAGATTGGATAAAATATTTTATCAATGTTAGATTTATAAAGATGCTAACTATATTGTGTTTGTATAAGAGAATATTCCTATTATTAGGAAATACACATGAAGGTATTTAGGGGTAAAGAATCATGCATACAACTTATTCTTGATTCATTAAAAATACACACATATGGGCAAATAATAGTGCAAATGTCAACAATTAACAATAGGAGACCTGGGTAAAAGATACAGGGATGTTCTTTTGGTTTTCTATTTTTCCAAGTTTCTAAAATTATGTCCAAATGAAATGTTTAAAGAAAGAAGCCTACTATGGCTGCAAACATATAATATTCTTTACAGCTTTATAAGGATTTAAAATTTGGCAATGGCTGCATAACCTTATAATACTAAACCAAAATGACAGGGCTGGTAGAAGACACTAATATCATCACATCATTCGAACAATCCTGCCATTCCATTTAATATTAAATGCTTCAGAAGCTACTATCATGTTGGTTATAAATATATACGTAGCTGTAGATATATATTTCATATTAAAAAGATGCTCAAAATATAATAAATGAAAACAGGTCACAAAATAGTTACAGATTATTATGCTTTTTTCCTTTTTGGCTTATGTAGATTTTTTATTTCTTTCCACAAACATGTATTATGTGAGTAAGAGAGAAAATCTAATTGAGTAAAGATGAAAAAAAATGTCAAAGTCAAAATATTGAAATAACAACCCCTGCTTCTTCCTAAAATATCAAACTGACCACACTATCAAAATGTAATTTTTACTGTTAGAATAGGAATGGTAGAGTTTAATTTTTTTTTTAGATTTAGACTCTGACCCCCAGATAAATACTGAAAAACCAAATGCTTGATTTGCTTTTATTTTTTTTAAATATTTTATTTATTTATTTATTCGAGAGAGAGAGAGAGAGGCAGAGACACAGGCAGAGGGAGAAGCAGGCTCCATGCAGGGAGCCCAATATGGGATCGATCCTGGGACTCCAGGATCACGCCCTGGGTTGAAGGCAAGCACTAAACCGCTGAGCCACCCAGGGATCCCTCAATTTGCTTTTAAAATTAAGAACAGAGAACATTAACACAAACTATGCTAACAAATATGCTTTAGTTCCAATGTTAGGCCCAATCTGACTAATAAAAAAGACGGAGGAGCAAGATTAACAGAAAAAAAGGAAAGGAGTTTGCTGATGAGTAGAAAAGACCCAGGGAAGGACCCCAGGGAAACTGAGTGGGGAAAATTAGAGAGGAAAACAAACCATGAGAGACTCCTGACCCTGGGAACAAAGGGTTGTAGAAGGGGAGGTGGGTGCAGGAATGGGGTAAATGGGTGATGGGCATTAAGGAGGGCACATTATGAGATGAGCAGTATACTATATGTTGGCAAACTGAACTTAAATAAAAATGAAACAAAAGAAAAAGAGAAAATGCCTATTAACCTGTGAGGGCCAGACACCTCAGTTCCCCTGTGGAAATGCACCTCCCACAAGTACAGCTGGGCCACATAGTCCTTGTTCCAGTTGGAGCAGGGCACCGCGAGCAAATCTTTCCCTATTTATAATGCCATTGACTTATACCCTGGAAAGTGGTTAAAACAGTAAATTTTATGTTATATACATTTTGAGACACACACACACCCCACTGCTTAGACTAAGGAAGAAAGATAGGAAACAAAGACTCTGAGTACCTTAAATAGATAGCACCCTCAGCGAGGGGAAAAAGAAATCAAAAGGGGAAGCAGGGAGGATGGTGACAGATCTGACCTTTTTTTTTTTTTTAAGAGAGACAGAGAGAAAAAGAGAGGGAGGGAGGGAGAGAGAGAGAAAGAGAAAGAGAAAGAGAAAGAAAAAGAGAAAGAAAAAGAAAAAGAGAAAGAGAAAGAGAAAAAGAGAAAGAGAAAAAGAGAAAGCGAGGCAGAGACACAGGCAGAGAGAGAAACAGGCTCCATGCAGGGAGCCCGACGTGGGACTCGATCCTAAGTCTCCAGGGTCACGCCCTGGGCTGAAGGTGGCGCTAAACCACAGAGCCACCCAGGCTGCCCTGACCCTTTTTGTTTGAAGGAAAGGAAGGAAGCAAGGGACCTTAGAAGACATGGGTGACACGGTGGTGACAGACTGGTTACCTTGCTGCGGTAGCCAGGGTAAAGAACAGAGGCTGGAAATATGAAACACCAACCTAACGGTTCTTACTCATCTTCAACTGAGCAGGATAGGAGGGTAAGAGGGGAGGAGAGGGAGGAAACTAAAAGATCTCATATGCACTTGTCATGCACAAGTAACTGACTTGCTGTCGACATCTATGAGGCTCACTAACATTGTTTGGTAGGACTCCCCGCCCCCCGCCCCACTTATCAAGTTTATTGAGCACCTACTGTGTTCCAAGCACTGTGTGGAAATATACTGCTATTAGTATGACTTATTTGGAAAAAAAAAATTGACTTCAATTCAATGGAACTTCAATTTGGTAAGATTTAAAATCCAAACTGTATGAGCAGAGTCTAGATTTCTCAATAAGGGTCTGCACTTTTTAAATACAAGAATACAATACACTTGTTTTGAGAAGATAATCCTTGAAAAAAATTTTTATCTTCCTAATAGGGACAAACTACCAGACTAAAGAAATAATGAGCACATAGTGAGAAAAGGAGATTCCTATAATTACTGAAAATACAGAGACCAAAAACATAGTAGATGTAAGTGTGGCAAGGGCTATGATAGAAACAAGGTGACTTGCCAGTGTGCAAAGAAAAGAGGAATATCATCTTAAAACTGAGCACTTCAGATGATCACAATGCTTATTTATTCAGTGCTAAAAATGCTAAGAATAAAATATGCTTCCCAAAAGGCTTTTTTTTTTAAATCTAGCAAACATGACAATACAGAATAATAAAATTAACTTAATTCAACTATAATATGCCTTTTGTTTTCTAAATAATATCACATGTAACTCAAATGGAAAAAAAGTCCTACTCTGAAGGAGCTGTTACATGTATAAAAATCATACATGTAATGTATACTTCTGAGGTATCCCTTTTTTAAGAAAAATGTGTTTGGGCCAAATGTATGTCCTCAGAAGTTAAAATAAAACTTTTTCTATTCACCAAATAATTATGACGCATCATCCCAATCACTTAAAGGAATGCTTCCAGAATTAGAAAATTACTTACAATATCATAAATTTCTCGGTCATCCTCATCAGCTAGAGTCAAAAGTGCTACCAATGGATAGCGAGATCTGGGTACTGTACCAAAGTCTTCGATTTTAGTATCTCTTGGTAACTGGCAATATATTTCTTCTTTGCTGTCCTTTTTAATACTTTTTGAAAATGTAAAGGTAAATTACCACTATGACCAAAAATACAGTAATACACCAAAGGTGATCAATAGTAACTTACCAAATATTTTATTCATAAAAAAAGTCTAACATCTAAAATTTTCATTTGTTAATAGGTATATCAGATAAAAGGATACAAATACTGTTCTTGATAGAGATATTCACTATACAGAGCATCTTCCAGTGCTTGGGGAGTGCTTATTCGGAAGCAATAAAAGTGCTTTTGCAGAGCTTCATATAATTTTTGAACGCTGCACCCCCAATAGCATGTAAGGAGGCTATCTTCTAGGCAATCTGTTGTCAAAGTTATGCCAGCTGTAAAAAAACAAAGAAGAAAAGAAGACAAAGAGAAGAAAATTACCTAATGTAATTTCTAATACAATTATACACAGTGAATAACAAAAGCTTCCTTTTGGATCCTGGCCAGGCTGATGGCAGTTAAAGGAACTCATTAAAGGGTATGTGCCTGTAAATGAAGCAACTGGTCCCAAAACAAGTAATATAAAAACCTCAACCTCTACACAGTTTTGAAGCACTATCAGTAAACTCTTATTATTTATACATTTATACTTGGAAATTATCAAGTTAATTTTGTCTGTGTGACTTAAAGACTTTTCCAACATAGAGTTTATTTATTTTTTAAAAGATTTTATTTATTTATTCATGAGAGACACACAGAAAGAGAGACAGACTCCAGGATCACAACCTGAGCCGAAGGCAGACACTCAACCACTGAGCCACCTAGGTGCCCCTGCCACATAGAGTTTAAAAACTGTAGTATAGTTCACTATTGACAACCTATTACTCTAATTGCATAGATAATCCTAACTATAGGAAACAGTAGAGGTATCTCTAAAAGTGGATATACAGAACCTTGTTACTGTAAGAAACAGCAGAGCTGTCTCTGAAAGTGGATACACATAACTCATGGGGTCCATAAGATGATCACTGGAGTAGAAAAAATATTAAAAAGAAACCAAGCTTTAGTAATATTGTTATACACACTGACAACATTAATATATACTCTTGTCACACAGTTAATGTCCCACATAATATGCAAAACATCCTAAGGAAAGAGTGAGGATTCCAAAACATGAAGGGCTTAATAGAAATGTCCTCATTCACTTATTTGCTTTCAGTGTAATGACACATTACAATTTGAGTAAATCGGTTTAAGTGGAAAAATAAATTATAAGTGGACATACAAATTAGATTTTTTTAAAGATTTTATTTATTTATTCATGAGAGACACAAAGAAAGAGAGGCAGAGACTCAGGCAGAGGGAGAAGCAGGCTCCATGTAGGGAGCCCAATGTGAGACTCGATCCTAGGACTCTGGGATCACGCCCTGGGTTAAAGGCAAACGCTCAACTGCTGAGCCACCCAGGCATCCCAAATTAGACTGTTTTACTTATTTATTAAATAGTTACATAGGACTTACTATTACTACCCATGTGATTTTTCCCCTTGCTCATGACAGTTGTAGCAATATCAAGTTCAAGGGCAGCAATATCCAGGGTCTTTTACTGCTGGCAGTAGAAACTGTAGCCTCTAGTGCTCAAAAGTACATGGTTTAGGGCATTATTCCTGACTGAACAACTTTGGTCTCTGATGCTGGGTCTTTAAACCTATTGGCAATTCTGTAAGCTTCCCAGTTTCCTTTTGCAGTCATTTCTATTAGCTAATAAAAATTCTGACTGAGGGCAGCCCCGATGGCCCAGTGGTTTGGTGCTGCCTTCAGCCTGGGGTACAATCCTGGAGATCCGGGATCGAGTCCCACGTCAGACTCCCTGCATGGAGACTGCTTCTCCCTCTGCCTGTGTTTCTGCCTCTCTCTCTCTCTCTCTCTGTGTCTGTCATGAATAAATAAATAAAACCTTTAACAAAAAAATTCTGGTTGATACATTATATATATTTTTAAAAGGTGATTAAGGGGGGTAGCTGGGTGGCTCAACCAGTTTGGGTGCCTGACTTTTGATTTTGGCTCAGATCATGATCTCAGACTCATGGGATCAACCCCCACATTGGGCTCTGCACTCATCAGGGAGTACGCTTGAGATTCTCTCTCTCCTTTCTCTGTTACTGCCTCCCCCGCTCCCCGCACTCACTCACTTTTTCTAATAAATAAATAAATCTTTTAAAAGTACATAAATCATCCCTTAAGAAAGTAAAATAAAAAGGTGATCAAGAGTATGTCTCAGAAGGATATACACAAACACAAGCAGATGCTCTACAGGATACCAAAAATTGAATTTTTTACTTTTTTTTCCAGTAGTTAGTGTATGTATATAGAGTCTCAGATTTGCAGTATGCATAGTCACAGTGACATAGATAATTTCCAATCATAGTTATGTAAAACTTCTAATTGGCGGGAACTCTGCATAGGTAATTGGAATAGAATTTGATTTCAAAGTTTTTTTTTTTTATTTCAAAGTTTTGTATGATTCCAATCATCGGTATTATTCAAGAATGGGAAATTTATGGCATGCCTGGGTGGCTCATCAGTTAAGTGTCTGCCTTTGGCTCCGGTCATGATCCCAGGATCCTGGGACCAAGCCTTGCATCAGGTTCCTTGCTCAGAGGGGAGTCTGGTTCTCCCTCTACCCCCTGCTCATCCTTTCTTTCTCTCTCTCTCAAATAAATAAATAAAATCTTTTTTTTCAAAAAAAGGGAAATTTAATTAGCTATTATTTTTCAATTAGCTACTAAATATCCAAAGAAAAACACTCCATCAATACCAAATATATATTTATATATTAAATTTAATATATATCAATTTACATATTATGTATTACAACATTTTTTAATGTTAGTATATACTATTTATATTATGTTGCATGCTTTTTTTAAAAAGATTTTATTTATTCATGAGAGACAAAGAGAGAGAGAAAAAAGAGAAAGAGAAAGAAAGAAAAGAGAAAGAGAAAGAGGCAAAGACACAGGCAGAGGGAGAAGCAGGCTCCATGCAGGGAGCCTGATGCGGGACTGGATCCTAGGACTCCAGGTCACACCCTAAGCTGAAGGCAGGCGCTAAACTGCTGAGCCACCCAGGGATCCCCGCGTGACAATGTTTATACATTTAAAGTTAATATATATATATAAAAAAGTTAATATATATATTAAAAATCATACCTCCCTTTCTCTTTGTTACCACACAACCATACAACATGAGGTAAGGGATAAAAACTAAAGTAGATATGAAAGGGAAAAATAGAAAAGACATATAAAAGAAAGTGGAAAAATAAAAAACATTCTTGGTAGAAATGTGAAAATGTGAAAAAATGTTATGAATGAAGCTCTAGTTACATCAAAATGCTGGAATCCACCCAAATGTCCATCAATGGGAGTTAAATGAATAAAATATGGGATATTCTATAATGAAATATTATGGAGGTCTTAAAAAAGAATTGAGGCATGGCAAGATATCTGCATATACTACAATGGGATGGGATGATCTTCAGAATACATATAAATGAAAAAAGCAAGATGGAGGCAAGTATATAGCATATTCCTGTTTATCTTACAGGAGAGGATATCCACATCTATGTGTCTATTTCCATCTAAAAAGAACCATGGAAGGACAATCCCTAAAACACACAAAACTACCCAGTTTATTTGCTTTGTAAAAAGAATCAGAGTTCCAGCCATTCAGAGCTGCATAAAACGCTTGTTTACAGACTGCATATACTTGACTAAAGTGCAGAGAGGGTCAGAGACTACTGACAACTGGATACTACTCAGACGTCAACAAAGTATGTCTCTGAAATTAACATTATAAGTTAATGAGAAAGAAGTATAGAATCTATAAATTCTACTTTCCACAATCTCTCCACACTTGTCCATGACATAGACTGAGAAGAGAATGTATCAATTTACACTAACTGATGACAGTTCAAATCCCCCCAGGCAAAACTGTTCTCCTTTTAGTTATTCTCACTTCTGCAGACGGTTCTCATTCTTTTATTTTCTCAGTCTTCTAAAATTCAGTGCAAACACAATGCCGTCTCAGATCAACAGTAATAGCAGAGCTAGAACATAGCCTTAAACCAGAAAATTCAGAATCTAAACTAACTGAAGCAGCATGGTGGTGACTGCCTTCAACCTGCCTTTACCTGCCTAGCCATAACAGCCAAATAAAACCCTGCATAAGAGACAGACTTGCAAAAAATTGCAAAAAATAAGGACTATAGCCAGTGAGTTGAGCCATTAAAAAAAGGAGAAACAATAGAGCAGAAAAGCCACAAATTTCCTTGAGGAGACTCCCTGAGAAAGAAGAACCAACATACAAGGTGATCATGAATGAGTAATAAATCTAGAGTATTGGGAGATGAAAATTTTACATCGTAGAAAATAGAGGTTCACAAATTCCTCCAAAAATGCTGTGTGTCATTTTGTCTAACTGTTTTATTTTTGTTAGGTCTCACCAGGGTGAATAAGCCCAAATATAAGGAAGATGTTACAAAGGGATAGGAAAATTCTAAATCAAATGAATTAAACTCAACTAACATATCCTGAGTACCTCCTATCAATTTCATTAGAGCCTTTTACACTGGGGACATGGAAACCTCAGAAGTCCAAATCCAGTATCACCACATAACAACAAAAGAAATCCCACCAAGCCACCCATAGTAAAGAGAACTAAATGACTAAGATTAAAACTGATTCTCAGGACACCTGGGTCTCTCAGTGGTTAAGTATCTGCTTTCGGCTCAGGGTGTGATTGTAGAGCCCCAGGATCGAATCCCGCATTGGGCTCCCCATGGGGAGCCTGCTTCTCCCTCTGCCTATGTCTCTGCCTTTCTCTTTCTCATGAATAAATAAATAAAATTCAAAAAGTAAAAAATAAAACTGATTCTCTTGTTCATTTTCAAGTAAATCGGGTCTCCAGATATTCCCCTTCCCTCCCCTACATGTCAGGTCCCTTGGGTACAGTGGTGAAAAAAGACCTGGATTTTTAAAGTAGACATCAAGTGAAATAACCTTTTCAAATGTCACAATTATTGCTCAGAATATTATTTTTATGTCCTAGTTAGACATCTTTAATGATATCCACTGTTTCACAGTTTAAACAAATGAATTTTATTCTGCCAAATATAATTCCCACCAAAATCCTTCCCCTTATTTCCCCATAGGAGACAGATAATGAATGATAGGCACTGGTATTTTAAAAATTAAAATACTTCAATAAGCGTGCTATAAATCCACACATTGAGACGCCTTGGCTTAGCAGTTGAGCATCTGAGTTGGCTCAGGACGTGATCCTGGAGTCCCAGGATCGAGTCCCACATTAGGCTCCTGCTTGGAGCCTGCTTCTCCTCCCTCTGCCTATGTCTCTGCCTCTCTCTGTGTTTCTCATGAATAAATAAATAAAATATTTAAAATAAATAAATAAAGCTACACATTAGAAAGGTTTTTTTGTATATTTCAGTAATGCTATTGTTGGTTGGCAGCTGAGAGGTCTTCTACTTACTAGATATCTTTTCATTTCCTTCTAACATTTACAGCAGGGTATGAGGGGCTCTTTTTGAGACTATTTCTTCCTGAAAGGAAGATTGATGGATTTCCTTACACTTTCTAGCTCACAAGTGTCCTGTGTTTGTTTGCTTATAATTTATCAGTTCCTACTTTTTTCAGCATTTCCCAGCTTGTAGAACTATACAGTAGGAAGGGCAGCTTTGTTCTGGTAGCTTTTTGTACTGGTAGTCCTTTTTTTTTTTTTTTTTAAAGATTTTATTTATTTATTCACAAGAAACACAGAGACACAGGCAGAGGGAGAAAGCAGGCTCCAAGCAGGGAGCCTGACGTGGGACTCGATCCCGGGTCCCCAGGATCATGCCCTGGGCTGAAGGCGACGCTAAACCACTGAGCCACCGGGGCTGCCCTGTACTGGTAGTCCTACTCAAGACTTAGATGTGACACTGGAGCAGGTCCAAGTGCCTGACCACAGAGGTCAGAGGTCACCAAACTACCACTGTTCCAAAAATAAAATGTACCACATTTTATTTTATTTTTTATTTTTTTAAAGATTTTATTTATTTATTCATGAGAGACAGAGAGAGAGAGGGAGGCAGAGACACAGGCAGAGGGAGAAGCAGGCTCCATGCCAGGAGCCCAACGTGGGACTCGATTCCGAGACTCCAGGATCATGCCCTGGGCCAAAGACAGGCGCTAAACCGCTGAGCTACCCAGGGATCCCCATAGGTATGTTTTCTAAACAGGTTAATTTTTGTATCTTGAAATCTGGTCTTCTCAAGTGAAAAATGTCAGAATGAACTCCTTATCTACCATTAGAGGGGGGAAAAAGAGGTCTTTAGTTCTCTTCAATTCACAGGGTGAGAGTACAGTATTTACAGTTAAGGAAGAATAAGAGATTTTGTACTTTTGCATTATAAATCAATATTTACTTAAGGTTAATAATCCCTATTAACTAGGTACACTGATTTGTTAAAAGATTTTATTTATTTATTTATTTATTTATTTATTTATTTATTTATTTAGCTACGAGTGGGGGGAGAGGCAGAGGGAGAGAGAGAAAGAATCTTTAGCAGACTCCATGCTGAGCATGGAGCCTTAATTGGGGCTTGATCTCACCATTCTGAGGTCATGATCTGAGCCAAAATCAAGAGCTGGACACTTAACCGACTGAGCTACCCAGGCGCCCCAGTACACTGATTTTTGACTTGTGATTCTGGAAGGTAAAGAAGGGAAGATGACCACATAGGAAGGGTCACAGAAGCCAAGGGAGCAGGGTATCAGGAAGGAAGGATTGGTCAACTCCGTTAAACTCTGTGGTGATAATGTTGATTTAGGCCTATAGAGTGTCCACTGGATTTTATGACTACTGAGGGGTTAGGGTGGGGGCAGAAGTGGTGATCAGTGATCTAGGGGAAAATCATTCAGTAGAGGATATAGGAAAAAATCAGACTGCCCTGATCTGAACAGTGAAAGTGAAGTAGGCTAAGGGAAGAAGAAAAATGCAACCTGCTTTTGAGATGCCTGGCTGTGAAGGGAAGAGAAAGAGCGCAGTAGCTTCAAGGAGATAAGAAGTTGAGAAAGGTGGGACACCTGGGTGGCTCAGTGGTTGAGCACCTGTCTTTGGCTCAGGGCGTGATCCCGGGGTCCTGGGATCGAGTCCCACATCAGGCTCCCTGCATGGAGCCTGCTTCTCCCTCTGCCTGTGTCTCTGCCTCTCTCTCTTCTGTGTCTCTCATGAATAAATAAAATCTAAATAAATAAATAAATAAATAAATAAATAAATAAATAAATAAATAAATAGTTGAGAAAGTTTGGGATTGTTTGTTTTTAAGATACCAGATATCTGACCAAGTGTAAAAGGTGATAGGGTCTCAGCCTAGTGCTACAGAACTGTATCTAGAGCTGCCCACTCTGTATCTCTACTTAATTGCTACAAATGCATTTCAAGTCCAGAAGTTCAAAACTGAATTTATTACCTTTCTTCCAAAACCTGCTGCTTCTCCTGTATTCTTTATCCTGGTAATAGGATCTGTCTGTGGAGGGCTCCTGCAAAGAACCTGAGTCTTCCCCTACTCTTCTCTCTAATCTGTCCTACACTATGTTTTATCCACAACAAACTATGTTTCTCTCCTGCATTATTCTCATTCTGTATCAGTGCTCTGTTCATGCCTCTTCCTCTTAGAACTGCTCTCAATCCCAGGAGATAAACACCTACTTATCTTTCAAGACTCAATCAATCAATCAATGAGAGAGTGAGCACATTTTTATAACCCTTTTCCTTTTTCTTTTTTTTTTTTTAAGATTTTATTTATTTATTCACAAGAGACAGACAGAGAGAGAGAGAGAGAGAGAGAGGCGCGCGCAGAGACATAGCCAGAGGCAGGTTCCATGCAGGGAGCCTGATGCGGAATTTGATCCCAGGACTCCAGGATCATGCCCTGAGCCGAAGGCAGATGCTTAACTGCTGAGCCACCAAGGCATCCCATAATAACGCTTTTCCTGAATATGCCTCCCCACCTCAGCAAACTTAACCATTTCTTTTTCTCTCTCTTTCTTCCCTTCCTTCTTTTTCCCTCACACCTTTTCCTTCTTTCACTCCAGTGGTTCCTAGTTTTACAGATAATTTACTTTTCCAAGTAAGCACAGAAACAAACAACTATGATCTATTATTACCATCTCCCCAAATAACATTTTATGCCAAAATAACTTATACCCAAAATATCATAATTTCAGATTAAAAACATTTGTTCTTGATAAGGTTACCAACCTAGTAACTGTGTTTATCTATACCATTCATATATTTCTCACTGCACTGAAGATCCATGAAAATGGCAGTGACCTAACAAGCTTCTCTTATTAACACTTAAGATACTTCATTCTTCTCACATGAATGCCACTGCTAGTTTGTAAGTTCCTAAGGAGCAAGTTTTGTGAATTATTAGTCTTTGTATCTATAGTACAAAGTAGTATTATAATACAGCTCCCAGAACAAAACAGGTGCTCAATAAATACTTAAGTGTAATCAAGAGAAAGCAATAGAGAAAGAAAATTAAAATGCTAAGAGAGGGGCATAGAAAGAAAAAAATCTTTGGAAAATAGCCACCAACTTGAAATCGAAGCTGAAGATGGATTAGTGATCTCTAAGCCAAAAGGATTCTTGACTTGTCTCATTTGCTTTTTGAAAACTCTTGTGTTGAACTGGGTCTCTTCTGAATTTCTCAGAATTACTGGAACATCCCAACCAAACCTAAATAAAAATAAAATAATACATAATTCTAGCAAATGCTGAAACTGCTATATGTGAAGTATATTGTGCTTCATCAGTTTTTCCTTTTAACATAAGCACCGAAAAAAGAGATTATTCAGTTTACATTGTATTACAGAATTAATCTAAAATTGAGAGATTAGAGGCCCCGTACAATTGCAATATATCATTCAACTGACTGAAATGACATACTCTTAAAAATGAAAAGTTCTATTGTTAATATTATTGTTGATAACAAAGTAGTATAGTCATTAGATAAATTAACATAACAGCAAAAACATGGTAAGAATTATTGACTTTTTTACATAATATAAAAAACATATTCATATTTAATATGCAGACTATTTGATATTATTTATGGGACAGGAGAACTTTTAAACACCAAATAGAGCATTTCATTTATATAATATATTTTCCACTTGTGAATTTCATGTAAAACTGTGATAATGTACATTGAACAGATTAGAAGGAAAGTGAAAGGGACCAAACTCAATTCCTTATAAAATTAGAAAGCAGCTAGGTTCACTCAATTTAAAAAAAAAGGTAACTTAAAATGAATATACATTAGTTAAACCAGGGGACTTTTTCATACTTTGATGCATTCTCTTCTTTCCAGAAACTTAGTAATGATGGATAAAAAATAAACAGAGAAATCAAAAAGACCCCATGGAAATAAGCAAACAAACTGGTATGTTTAAACAAGGAATAGTAGTACTCAGCAATGAAAAGGAATAAATTATTGCCAAAGCCACACGGGTAAATCTCACGACCAACATGCTGTGCAAAAGAAGTCTTATACAAAGGAGTACATGCTATACGATTCCGTAAAATTCTAAAGCAGGCAAAACTAATCCATAGCAGAAATAAAAACAGGGCAATGGTTGCTTCTGGGAGCTCAGGAGAATGGACTGACTAGCAAACGGAACAAGGAAACTTTCTCTCGTGATGGTAATGTTCCATATCTTGATAGAGGTTTGAGTATAGATGGTATGTTTGATAACACTTAAGACTTGTATATGTCATTGTGTGTTAATATTACTTCAAAAGAAAAAAAATAAATGTTGAGGGATGCCTGAGTGGCTCAGTCACTTAAAGCATCTGACTCTTGGTTTCGGCTCAGGTCATGATCTCAGGATTATGAGATTGAGCCCCATGACGGCTCCCTGAGAGGTGTGGAGCCTGCATAAGAGTCTCTCTCTTTCCTTCTTCCTCTGTGCCTCCCCCCTCCCTCTCTAAGAAAAACCCAAACAAACCAAATGTTGAACTCTAATATGCAATGCTTTAGTATCTGGGGAAGAGTAACAACTTATTTTGAAGGGATTAAGAAATAAGATGGACAGGACGCCTGGGCGGTTCAGCAGTTGAGTGTCTGCCTTCGGCTCAGGGCCTGATCCCAGGATCCGGGATCGAGTCCCACATCAGGACCCTCCAAGCAAGGAACCTCCTTCTCCCTCTGTCTGTGTCTCTGCCTCTCATGAATAAATAAATCTTAAGAAAAAAAAATAATAAGATGGACAAATATGTAAAACATTGATTATACTGATTACAGCAAAATATTGATTGTAGAACCTAAGTGTAGACATATATATATATATTCACTGCATAACTTTTTTAACCTTTCCATATGTTTGAAAATTTTAATAATAAAATGTTGGGAAAAAAAGAGACATAGCTGGTTTCAAAGACAAATCTTTATGGCTCTAAAAAGGGAAAGAAATATAAAGTAATGAGTAAGGCTGATGCCATGGTTTGATGGGTCCTGAGTCTGGCAGCAGGCAGTGGGAAGTAAGCCTTCCCACAGTATGAAGATCTTATTTATAGGTTGTCTGCTAAAGACAAGAGCCAGAGTGAAGTTCATAATTTGAATCCAGGAGCTGGGTTAGGCCAATATCAATTGGAACAGAAGTGTCATCTCCTGGTCCTTGACAAAAAGGAGTGTCAAGGAACAGAAGTGTCATCTCCTGGTCCTTGACAAAAGGGGCACCTAGGAATCTAGTTGGAGACAATTGTAAAATGGTTAAACAGCAAGGATGAAAACAAAGGATGGGGAAGAAAACTACTTAAATTTAGGTTGCAAACCAAAATTTCAAAACACATGAATAAATCTAAGGCCAAGAGAAGGCCAATAAAAGTAACACATGGAATACAGTTATACTCTAGATGAATTTAATTTTATGGAATTGTCGGATAAGTCTGTTCTGGTCCTGGCTAAGAAAGCTGAAAAGCAAGCCTCTAACAGATCAAACTGTTTCCAAGTAAGTTAACTGTATCCCAAAACAAAGCTCAAGATTATATATATGAATACAAACACATCTAGCACCTTAAAGTAAAATTCACAATGTTTAGCATCCAATAAAAGGTTAACAGCCATGCAAAGAAGAAAGTATGACTCATAATGAGGAGAGAAACTAATCAAAAGAACTAGACCCTAGAAATGACATGGATGCTAGAACTAGTAGACAAGAACATTGAAATAATTGTTGTAACTAAACTCTATATTTTCAAAAAAGTAAGTAAAGACTGAGCATATTATATAGAGACATGGAAGATATCTAAAAAGACCCAAATCCATTTCTGAAGAAAAAATACATTTTTTTTAAATACAACATTTGTGATGAAAAATACACTGGATAAGATTAATAGCTGACTTAACATTATAGAACAAAAGATTAATACATTTCAAGATTTATTCACAGAAAGGAATCCAATATGAACACAAAAAGGGAAAAAAAAAGGCTGGATTAAAAAAAAATATCAGTGAGCTGAAGGACAACTTCATGTAGTCTACAGTTAAGGGGTAGAGACATACAAGAAAATTACAGACACATATCACTCAAGAACACAGATGCAAAACTTCTTAAAATGTTAACAAATGAAATCCAACAATATATTAAAAGGCTAATACATCAGGACCTACTTACAGTTTAACATAACATTAAAAATTTAATGTAATTCACCATATTAACAGACTAAAAAAAGAAAAACCATATGATCATCTCAGTACATGCAGAAAAAGCACTTGCTAAAATCCAACGTCTATTCCTGATAAAAACTGTCAGCAGGGCAGCCCCGGTGGCGCAGTGGTTTAGTGCTGCCTGCAGCCCGGGGTGTGATCCTGGGGACCTGGGATCGAGTCCCACGTCAGGATTCCTACATGGAGCCTGCTTCTTCCTCTGCCTGTGTCTCTGCCTCTCTCTCGCTCTCTCTGAATGAATAAATAAATAAATCTTTAAAAAAAAAAAAAACTGTCAGCAAACTAGGAATGTTAAGGAACTTGATAAACGGCAGCAATAAGTATGTGGAACTAACATCGTATTTAATAAAAAACTGCTTTCCTCCTAAAATCAGGAATAAGACACTTAATAGCTATGTGTCCTTAAGTAATCACTCAAGCTTTATTTAACTGGTTTCCCATCTGGAACCATTTATAACAGGGCTTGGCACTATATAAGTGCTAGCAATGATAATGTTGATGATGGAGTAAATGTAGGTGTTGGCAGAATAGCTAGAAAGAAAAATCCCGTAATTTCTCCTTATTGAATGTCAGAATTGGTTACCCCACAGTCCCTGTATCCACAGCCCAACATTGCCCCAGGGCCTTTTAGAGGTTAAGTTGGGAATGTGAAATGGCAGGATACAAGATATAGTCTTCCCACAAGAGCCATAAGATAACACTTTCCCCTTCTTTCTTTCATCCCTTGGAGTGAAAAAACAAAGGGAGAAAAACATGATTCTATGCTATACATACTCATTACATTTCCTGGCCCCTTCATCATTTTAATTCTCCCTACTGTCCCCTTCTCCCTTTTTTTCTTTACTCCCACTGCCTGGCTCCATACACCCACACTACCAGCAGTAAACACCAGAACTCAGAGCTTATTGTGTTCAGTTCTACTGTAGGTTCAAGCATTATATTTCAGGTACTTTATCATGTTGTTCCTAAAAATTTCAATTAAACAATCTTTAAAGGTATAGGAGTCAGAAACCCAAAAAGCAAGGCTTTGGAGAAATATCTGGAAGCAGGCTGCTGTGAGCATGGAATTCCTTTGCAATATGCTTTATTTATTCCATGATATATCTGGGCTTTTTTTTAATATATTTATGACAGAGAGAGAGAGAGAGAGAGAGAGAGACAGAGACAGAGACAGAGACACAGGCAGAGGGAGAAGCAGGCTCCATGTAGGGAGCCTGATGTGGGACTCGATCCCGGGTCTCCAGGATCACGCCCTGGACTGAAGGCGGCACTAAACCGCTGAGCCACCCAGGCTGCCCTCTCCAAATCTTTACATAAAATCAGTGTTGTGGAAAGATATCCCATATCTGTTCTGTGGCTTTGTATATGCCTTAGAATGGAACAAATAATATGAGATGTAAAGTGTTCCTTCTTTTTAAACATGCTTATCGAAGGCTGCTTGGCCCAGCATTATATCCGGAGCTGCCAAAGCACACCTATTATGAAAAGAAATTCATCTCCCTAGATTTTTTTATTTCTCTGCCTCATGCTTAATCTTGGGTCTGCATTTTCTAACACCCTAAGGTCCTTGATTTGAGTCAAATACATCTTTTCAAATTGGTATTATGAATCGTGCTAAACCCCTGGCCAGAAAAGTACACAAAACATATTTCAATGAATTAGAAAGTAAACTGGTATTCAGGTTAAGAACCCAAACAATATCCTCAGAAAGTCTGTGTGTCACCTCCCAGGCACTACCCCTTCCCTCCCCACTGTCTTGACTTTCATTACTATAATTTAGCGTACCTGTTTCTGAATTGTTATGTAAGTGGAAGTGTGCTGTATATATGCTGTGTATACTTTTATTTCCTTTTTTATAACACTATGCTTGAAGATTCATCCATGCAGTTATATTCAGTGCATATTTGTGGCCTTATAGTATTCTATGGTATAATAAATGTGCTGGAACTTGCTTACTCATTCTACCTTTAATAGATATTTAAGTTGTCCTCACATTCTGGCCATTATG